TTTCTATTCATGTTTTTAACTTTTATTTAGTCATGTCCTCCATTATTTTCCAGGACATGTCCTACATTCTAGCGTTCTGTCCAGGAAGAATTCCAAAATGTCTTCCATTTAGAGCAGTGTTTGTAGATTTTATTTTGTCATGCCTTCAATTTTTCTTCTCCTGGACATGTCCTCAATTTCAATCTTGTGCCCAGGAGGAATTTCTAAATGTCCTCCATTTTGAGCATGAATGTAAATTTTTCTGTGAATGTTTTTAGATTTTATTTTGTCATGTCCACCATTTCAGTCTTTTGTCCGGGAGGAATTCCAAAATGTCCCCTGTTTTGAGCATGGCAAAGAAGCATGAGTTTATATTTATATGAATGCTTTTAGCTTTTATTTTGTCATGTCCTCCTTTTTCCCCATGATATGTCCTACATTCCAACCTTCTGTCTAAAAGGAATTCCAAAATGTCCTCGATTTAGAGCATGGCTAAGAAGCACAGTTTTATAGTTTTATGTGTGTTTTTTAGCTTTTATTTGGTAATGTCCTCCATTTTCCCCCAGGACATGTCCTACATTCCAGCCTTCTGTTAAGGAGGAATTCTGAAATATCCTCCATTTCGAGCATGGCAAAGAAACACAAACTTACATTTTTATTAATGTTTTTAGGTTTTATTTTGTCATGCCCTATATTACAACCTTCTGTCCAGGAGGAATTCCAAAATGTCCTCCATTTTGAGCATGGCAAAGAATCACAAATTTATATTTCTATGAGTGTTTTTTAGCTTTTATTTTGTCATGTTCTCCATTTTTCTTCTCCAGGACACATCCTCCATTTCAGCCTTCTGTCCAGGAGGAATTCCAAAATGTCCCCCATTTTGAGCATGACCTAGATGTCTAGAAGCATGAATTTATATTTATATGAATGCATTTACCTTTTATTTTGTCATGTCCTCCATTTGTCTTTTCCAGGACATGCCCTCCGTTTCAGTCTTCTGTCCAGGAGGAATTCCAAAATGTCCTCCATTTTGAGCATGACCTAGAAGTGTGCATTTACATTTCTGTGAGTGTTTTTAGCCTTTATTTGGTCATGTCCTCTATTTGTCTTTACCAGGACATAATCATATCTTAGCATGTCATGCTAAGAAGCATGGATTTACAGTAATATTAGTGATTTTGGCTTTTATTTTGGGATGTCCACCAGTTTTCTTTTCCATGCCCTAAATTCCAACCTTCCATCCAGGAGGAATTCCAAAATGTCCTCCATTTTGAGCATGACTCAGAAGCATGAATTTATATACAGGACATGGCTAAGAAGCATGGATATTAGTAATTTTAGCTTTTTTTATTTTAGAATGTCCTCCATTTTCCTTTTCCAGGACATGGCCTCCATTTCACCATTCTGTCCAGGAGGTGGTCCAAACGTCCTCCATTTTGATCATGACTCAGAAGCATGAATCTGTATTTATACTATGTGTTTAGCTTTTGTTTTGTAACATCCTGTATAGTACAGTGCCTTGTCCTCCTTTGCGGTTATGGCATCTGGTCACCCTGCCCCTCTTTTTTCCTGTTTGGTCTCTGCCTGCTGTTCCCCAAGATTAGTTCTGGCAGACAGAAGAGTTTCCCAGCAGCTCTTAAGATATGTTTGCAACGACTGGGGAGGAAAACCAATACAGAAACTCCTGTTTCTAAATAACTCCCAGTAAACAGGAGACTGAGAAGGAGGAAGCCCCTTGCCCTTTTCTCAGATTAAGCAACCAGCCAGAGTGAGAGGCTTCCAACAAACCCAAGGTAGAAGAAGGTTTGGTACTGCCTGGAGATTTTTAGCCTAATTTTCTGCTATGGCTGCATCCTGTGGAGTCCTGGGATTGGCAGGTTAGGGAGGCATGCTTACCATTAGCCAGAGAGCTTCACTAGTCCCTATATTGTTGTTGTGTGGCTTCAAATCATTTCCAACTTAAGGTGGCCCTATCGCAAGGTTTTCTGTCAAGTTTCTTCAAATTGGGCTTGCCATTGCCATCCTCTGAGGCTGAGAGAGTGTGACTTGCCTAAGAACACCCAGTGGGTTTACATGGTCGAACCAAGATTCAAACCCTGGTCTCTCGGTGTCCTAGTCCAACACGCAAACCACTACACCATAATAACATAGGATGTAGCCAGGGCATCCATAGTGGAATCAGTATGAAGAGAGATCTTGTAGCACCTTTGAGACTCACTGAAAGAAAGAAGTTGGCAGCATGAGCTTTTGTAGACTAAAGTCTTACTTCCTCAGATCCAGATCCTCAAGATTCCTCAGTCCAAATGCATCTAAGGAATTAGGCTCAAGTCTACAAAAGCTCATGCTGCCAACTTCTTTCTTTCAGTGAGTCTCCAAAGTGCTACAAGATAGCTCTACATTCTACAGACTAACATGGCTATATCCTTGAATTCTACCATTGTAGTGGAATCATACCGCTATAATTGTGCATTGTGAAAGGGCTCCTGCTGACTTTCAATACTGGAAGGAGGGTGTTTTAGTTTAGTTTTATATGTATATGTATCTTATGTGTAATTTTCTCTCTCTTTCTTTTATGAAAAGGAATCACCACCACTGCCACCCTCCTTCCGAAGCCCTTGCATCATCTGCAGAGTGCGGTCTGCACTGGGCCAATCCACCTGTCCCTTACGTTGCTGGCTGCAGACCCACCTGAGAATCATTCAAAAGCAACCCAGCAAACTCCTTCTGGCTTCAGGCGCAGATGTGACTGTAGGGCCTTTGTAGCCTTGTCTTTCTCCTGCCTTCTTCCCCAAGCCTAGGGGTTTAAGGTGCTGTTGCAGAATGCCAAAACGTAAATGCCAATTTAGTGATCGCTTATCAAGCAAATATAAGTTATTTAAAGATGGTAGAACTAAATATGAAGCCGAGTGCCTCATTTGTCCTGCAGGAACATACATTTCTGTAGCCAATAAAGGTAAGTTGGTTAAAAAAACATTTAAATTAAATTAAAGGTATGTCGATTAAAAAAACATTTTAAACATGGTTTCCATTTCAGAAAAACAAAACAAAACTGTGTCTTTACAGGGTCACAAGATTTGGAAATTCATCTCCAGTCCCAGAAACACAAGAGGAATGCCCAGCGTTGCAGCGCTATTACAGATATATCAAGTTTTTTTAGTCAATTATCAGAATCTGTACTATTAGTAAATGCGGCGGAGGCGGCTTTGGCATTTCACACCGTTAGCCACCATTCATTGTATCGATCTATGGATTGTACACCTAAGCTAAATGCTGAAATTTACTGTGACTCTGATATCGCCAAAAACATGTCGTGTGTTAGGACAAAGACTGAAGCTATAATAAACAAAATTCTCGGGCCACATTCTGTTGATGTGACGATACAGTGCTTGAAAGAGATATCATGTTTTGGCATTTCCACAGACAGTAGCAATCACCTATCTCTGAAAATGTTCCCAATTTTAATACAGTTTTTTGATTATAAAGCAGGAGGTATTCAGAGCCGAGTTATAGAGCTTAAAACAATTCCCAATGAAACTTCAGATGCAATTTCATCCTACATAAGCGATACACTAAGACACCTTGATATTGCTAACAAATGTGTAGCGTTTGCTGGTGATAATACAAACACTAATATGGGGGGCTTTAAAAGGGCTGAGAGCAACAGTGTTTTTGCCAAATTAAAGAAATGTGTGAACAAGAATGTCGTAGGGATAGACTGTCCAGCACATATTCTTCACAATACTATTCAACATGGAGCTGACAGCTTGGGAGTTGATTTGGAGTGTATAGTCATTAAATTGTATAATTATTTTTCCATTTATACAGTCAGAACAGAACAACTTAAAGAGTACTGTGAATTTGTTGATACAGACTACAAACAGTTGCTGTCCCATACTCAGACCAGGTGGCTCTCTCTGTTTCCAGCAATTTATAGAATACTTGAGATGTATGAAGCTTTGCAATCCTATTTTTTATCTTTGCCTAGTCCTCCTAAAATTTTGAAGGATTTTTTTTCAGCCAGGATGAGTAAGGCATACCTGTGGCACCTACATTCATTAATGTCAGTTTTTTACGACAATATCAAGGAGATTCAAAAAGAAAGAAAATCAATCATTGACATAATCAATATACTAGAAAATGTAGCGTCTGTGCTAGAGAACAGGTTAGAAAGCTCCTTTATTTCCCTTAAGACGAAAGAGGTGTTGACATGTGCCCAGGAGGAGGGATTTGGTACCGAAGTAGATTGTTTTCTGGAGGAAGCATTATCTTTGTACAGGGAATGCTATGGTTATTTAAAGAAATGGAGTGTTTCATTTACAGATTTTCACTGTTTCAAATGGATGGATTTGAAAGAAAAGGTGCTGATGAAAGATGTGGAAACATGTATAAAGTTCTTAAGTAAAAAAGGAATCAAGATTGATGCTAAAAAAATTTGTGACCAGTTGTCTAATTTGAACATGTTTCTTGAACAAAACAGCACAGACCTTGAAAACAGGTCATGTAATGACAAGTGGGTTAAATATTTTGGGAGTAGCAAACACAACGAATGTCACTCGGAACTGCTGAAAATGGCAGAATATTTCTTTTCACTGCCAGGACACAATGCAAATGTAGAAAGGGTTTTCTCCTTCATTTCAGCACAATGGGCAAACGAAAGGAATAATTTAAATGTAGATTCAGTCAAAGGTTTGTTGCTAGTGAAGTACAATTTTAAGCATTTGTCTTGCTCAGAGTTCTATAAATATATTGTGAGCCAACAAGGCATTTTAGCAGAGATAAGTTCATCATTAAATTACGGCTGAGTACCTGATAAAATACGGTATGTGTAATATAGTTGTAAATAAACCATTTGAAATGAATTTATATTTATATGAGTGTTTTTAGCTTTTATTTCATAATGCCCTGCATTTTTCTTGAATGCCCTACCTCTTGCGGTGCCTCGTCCTCCTTTGCGATTGACATCTGGTTGTCCTGAGCCTCTGGGTGGGGATTTGAACCTGGGTCTCCTAGGTTCATAGAGAGCCAGCATGGTGCAATGGTTTTAACATTGGACTACGACTCCAGAGACTAGGGTTCGAATCCCGGCTTGGCCATGGAATCCCAGCAGGTGCCCTTGGGCAAGTCACACACTCTCAGCCTCAGGATGGCAATGGCAAACCCTCTGTGAACAAATCGTGCCAAGAACCGCCATACCAGAGTTGCCATAAGTTGGAAGCTCCTAAGTCCTGCTCCATCTTGCGCAGGGTGACCAGGACAATTTCTCCATTACAGCCTTCTGTCCAGGAGGAATTTCGATATATCCTCTATTTTAATTATCACTAAGAAGCATGCATTTCTATTTATAGTAGTGTCCTTAGCTTTTATTATGGAATGTCCTCCATTTTGCTTTGATGTCCTATACTTTGCAGTGCCTTGCTCCTCTTTGCAGTTATGGCATCTGGTCACCCTGGCCCTGTATAACACATGCAGCTTTGTCCCATTGGGTGACCTTGGGCAAGTTGCCTTCTCTCTCAGGGAGACCAGGCATCCTACTTTTCCAGGACCTGTCCTCCATTTCCACATTCTGTCCAGGAGCAATTCCAAAATGTCCCCCATTTTGAGCAGGACTCAGAAGCATGGATTTACATTTCTATGTGTGTTTTGAGCTTTTATTTTGTTATGTGCTCCATTTTTCTTTTCCAGGACATGCTCTCCGTTTCAGTCTTCTGTCCAGGAGGAATTTCACAACGTCCTCCATTTTGAGCAGGATTAAGCAGCATGGATTGACATTTCTAAGAGTGTTTTGAGCTTTTCTTTGGTCATGTCCTCCATTTCAGCCTTCTGTCCAGGGGTTCCAAAATGTTCTCCATTTTAAGCAGGACTATAGGGTGGCCAGACGTCCTCCTTTTCCAGGACGTGCTCTCCATTTCAACTCCCAAGAGAAGTTCCAAAATGTCCTCCATTTTGAGCACGACCAGGAAACATGAATTTTACATTTCTATGAGTGTTTTGAGCTTTCATTTGGTCTTGCCCTCCATTTTCCTTTCCTGGCATTTATTTTTATTAT